TCTAACAATTGCGTCATGTAACTGTCGAAATTATGTTAAACGCACAATTAAAAAAGCGATACGGTAAAGTTTCGACGAACACGAACAAGTTTTACATATCTTTTCAGATAATATGCGTGTCTAAAAGACGTCGTGAAAAGACATGTCTTAAAGCCGTCTAAAAGACTTTTCAGAGTTGTCTGGGTTATTATATTGTTTGTATCTGTCTTTATGTTGCGCAGATGCGAAGATAATAGCATGTCTTTTCTGATTTGAATGAACGATGTTGCCAATTCAAATAAAATTAATAAATTTACTTGTGAACATACAAATTCTCTCAGGTAAAGTATTTTGTCTTGCATAGATTTTACGACACACAATAGACGCCATTGTCAACGATGCCAAGGTAATAATCGATATAAATGGTATCTTCGATCGTGCTTATCTCATCATAGAATCAACTTTGGAGGCATCCTGTGCAACTGAACGATTCGCTCTCTTCCTCTTGGTTCCTTTTTCGATTCCTAAAAACGCTTCGCATCGACGCACCGCAATTAAATCGACGTATGTATGAGAAAGCGGCGTCGACGAGATGTATACAGTGTCAGAGTGAGAAGAGCGCAGAGAGAAAAAGCACTTTTTTTTTTTCAATCAGATCTCTTGACAGACGCAAATTTCACATCTTTGCATGAGAAAGTTGAGTTTTAATTCTTGTTAAAGACTGTTAGTTTTTAAAGCACACACGAGATCAAGGCCTGTTTACGGTCCGACGTTTATAGAACAATCGTGCTCCACTAAAGTGCTGCGCAGTAGTTCTGGAACACCTGGTGTATACCGGATAGACCGTTCACTGGAACGCTATACATTGAGGCGGACTTCTCCCTTTTGAGCTCAATGCTAGAACTGCGCGTTTAACAGCTCACTGTTACATTATAGATTAAATATTAGCCTTTATGCGGACGATATATGTACGCGACAATTGCAAAGACAATCAAACGCATATATGTCAGACACGTTACAATTGCAAATATAATACGTTATAAACGAAATTTTATCAAACGAACCCGCGAAAAAAAAATTTATATATTCTAAATAAAAGTCTTATAAGTTCTTTATAAAGATTCATCAAAATTCATATAAAGAATTTATAAAGTCTTTATATAACCTTATAAATAAATATATATTTTTAATATAGTTTATATTATAAACTTATTTAAGTTTAATAAGTCCTTATTAAATCTTATTAATGTCCAATTTATATATATTTAATTAAATCTTAATAAGTTTTAAATAAGTTGAATTAATATGTTTTAATATGGTCTTAACAAGTTTTAATAAGTTTTAATAAGGTCTTAATAAGTTGAATTAATAACTTAATATGGATCATTATATGGTCCAAATTAAATCTATATAAGGTTTTAATAAAACACTCTGATATCTCTGCATTATCGAGATAACAAAGTAATTTTATAAGCATTTCAGTACAAATAATCACGTTTCATTGGTGCCACTGATTGTGAGATATTTAGCAACAAATAACTGCGATCTCCGTGATTGCGTATTAATTCTCCGATAATTTGACTCCGATGACTCACAATCAACACTCTTATCTCCCTTGTTTTCACTTTACATCTACGTTGTTTGTTAGATTTCAATTTCATTGCACCCGATGTACGCGCGGCATTAGAAACAAATACTTTCTGCAGAATGCTCAAGGCGGAATCCACTTTCTTTACTGCGAGGAGCAACACAGGAAGTTTCGAATATTCATCCGACAGAAAATCTTACGGAGTCACGCTATCGTAAGCGGAAAATCAGTATCAGCGCACAGGATTTCTTCAGCGCGCACTAATGAAAATATATTCTGGTTGTATATGTTGTTCTTAATCCGTGATCTGTTCGAACATTTAGCTCGTTTACTGGTAAAATAAATCTGATTCGAATATTGGATAAGAGCAATACTGCAAAAAATTTTGATCTTTGCAACATTGTTTATCATACTTGAGTTTCCTACATAATTACTTTGACGATTCAATGAAATTATTTTCAAATCTATATTTATACAGCTTAATTTTTAGATACTTCAGGAAAATCGTTCCTTCCATGAACATAATATCAAGTTCGGCCTTCTAAACTTTATAATTTTGATAATAGACTACGATGCGCAGATACACGCACACGCATGCAGCAGTGAAGAAAGTCGTATAAGATACGTTTCTTGTGAAGATTGTAAAGCGCCATGGTTGAAAAAAATTATGGTGTATCTATATGTAATAATCGACGACGCGATGACACGATATAATTACGTTTTTATCATGGCAATCCGATGTGCCGGATGTCTTCGTAAGTTTTATCCTATCGTCCCAAACGTTCTTATTATGCATTCGTGTTAGTATTTCTCTCACGTTTACATAATATCTTACCGACTAAAACTATGTATATGCAAAAAGCTGTTTAATGCACCGCGAAGACAGACAACTTGGTTGCACAAGGGCATTAAATCATCGGGAATGAAAGGACTGCTGTCAATGGAACGTGGAACTGATTAGATCTTAAACACGTTTTAAAGCGTGATTATGCGTTTCGAAACGATGCGCCGTTGTATAAATGTCAGAATAATTTTGCGCACTTCAGCGCGTCCCGTGATATCGTAAAATGCGTTCTCCAAAAATTTGTATAGATTTTACATTCTGTAACTTTCACCTTTTTGATTTTGTAATTTAACTGGAAATAAATATACGTTGCAAGTTGCAAGGCGAATTATTCTCATCTTGAAATAGAAAAAAGAAAATACAAAAATTCTGCTTTTCCTTGCTCTTATCTGTGACTCATCTTGATATTATTGATATCACAGTAAAGTTAGTCAGTGCTAATTTAATTCCTCTCTCGATTAAAATATATAGCGTTCATCAATCTTTAAATTGGAACTGAATTGTGCGAAATCAATAATTATGCGCAAATCCTTTCTCATCTTGACCTTGTAATATCTTTCGATCAAGGTTGTACAGGAACAATATATATATATATATATATATATTCTCTTTTCATAAAAATGCACAGAATTCATTAAATAATTAAACAGCCACAAGAGACACTAGTCTGACACGTTGGAATTCGATTACGCAATTGATCAAGTGTTTAGAAACGTCTTTGTCAGTAAATGGGTTCGCTGACAGTTGCGTAAAGCTGCTAAAATACAATGGCACCGAGACGAAGACCAACAAGCTCCTATCTATTTAAAACATTTCTTAAATTACAAACTACTAATGTAACTATTAAAGTTTGACTTGTATTTAAATTATGTATTTTTCAGCTGCATTCGTAGGCGTTTACTTTCTATTTCGTTTAAATATTATGCAATGTTTTACAGACGTTATGTTCTACGGTGAATGATCCTATTAGTAATTACATCACTTTAGAAATATAATTTTTATCATTTTATAACAAAAATTGAATCGTGTAACACGACATTCACGACAATTAGAGATCTCAATGCGAGCAAGGGAGCTTAGCCTTCTGGACAAAAGAGAAAGAGAGAGAAAAAAGAGAACGAAAGTAACGGAAAGATGGTTTCTCTCTCTCTCTCTCTCTCTCTCTCTCTCTCTCTTTCTCTCTCCGTTGCAATCATGAACGGAAACAGTGCAATCGATTTACAGTCTGCCGATAGCCAAGCCCATTGCAAAACAGGAGGATTGGGATATAAAACGTAGATATAAGAAACAGAAATCGACCATGCACAACGTGCGCTCGCGTGTTACAATGTTCTCTCTTTTCTCTTATTTATGTGTATCCTGTATATATGATATATCACGTTGCTCTTTAATATCTTTAATGCATCGCCGAGAGGATGACTACGAATAAGCGCAATTGTAAAAGTATTAAATAAAAAGCCAACATTCATTTTTCATAGTCAGGAAAAGGTCCCACGCTGTCTCATGCTTTATATTGCATAACAAATTTAAAGTTTCATCGTTAGATATATATATATATATATAAGAAAGACACGTCTATTTTTTTATAAAAATGATTTGGCTATCCTAAAAAAAGAAACGATTACAAAAATTTTGCGCGATTCCAAATTCGTGGAGGAATGATCACGTTGCTTTCTAAATTGCATTTTCACAAATCTATATATTTGCACATTTTACGATTAAAAAAACCGGATGACTCGCTTCTACGGGTATATATACATACAATAATTGTATAATAGGTTTCATAAAATTGTCATTGTTCTATTGTTAGCGTTCTGTTGTCATTGTTCCACTGTGTCAGCCGTCGTAAAAGAAGGCACGAGAAACGTTGATATTAACTGAATCATCCTGTAGAACAACGCGAGTTGTACGTCTCTCGCTTCTCGAGACGGTATCTTGCAATTAGATCTAATTGTTGATACCGCTCGACGGATGTGCAATCAGCAGGAGCCGATGGCTCTTTCTATATAAGAACCGCGGCTGCTGATCTACGTCGCCACTGTTCGGATGATGCGCGAGTGCAAGGAACGACTTTCATCGGGAGCATCTCCGCGCACGCAAAAAGAGTCTTTTCTTAGAAAGATCTTACGGATCTTATCCATGACACATGCGTCGAACGGTATATCGGCGATCGAATCCATACCGTTCTGTCTTTGGTGGGGCTTGTAGAAAAAAAAAAAAAGAAAAACACGTTTAAGCGCGCATCGTGCTGCGTTAATCGTTTGGCGACGTAGCGTCTAAATACGACGTGACGTATATGATGCAACGATATCGGTCGTGTTGCGTGCCAAGCACGAGCGTTACGCGGCGCGGTCGAGCGCACCGCACTTCCGTATGGCGTAGGGCGCGAGCGCGGAAACTCCCGTATATAGACGGAGATACGTAATCCCCGAAGGGCTGTCGCGAATCCTGCGCGTGTCGGAAATCATGTCAAGGACCAGGGCCGCGAGCGAGCGAACGGGCGGACGGACGGACGGAAGGGGCACGAGAGTGGGCTTCCGCTCTGGCCCTGGACGACGACGTCAACGTCGCTTATTTATTTTTACTCACTGTTTGCGCGCCGCCCTTCGGACCACTCGGGCCGCCGCTCCGCGTTCGCCGTGGTCGGTGCACCGCGATGCACCGCGTCGGAGTATACAAGTTGCTCCGGGTTATCTGCTTCGCATGCGGCCCTATACGGAGTCAGGCAAGCTGCGAGATAGCTCTTTCTGCAGGTCGCGTCACGTAACACCGTCGCGACTTTACAGCGTCACGCGGACTCGGACGAGTTAAACGTACGTCGTCGTTCTCTCGAACGGGGAACGAGTGGGTCGCGCGCGAACGCGCCGTTCGCTATCCAGCGTTGAACTGACTCCTTTGTTTAGTAAACAGAAACAGCTGAGCGACCGACAGTGGAGGTGGTGGCGGCAGCGATAGTGGCGGTGGCAGCGGCAGCGACGGCGGCGGCGGCAAAGGAGGTGGCGGAGGCGGCGGTGCATTCGTACTCGTTTGTACTGTACATTATCGACCGCATTGCGCGTGCGCGATGCCCGCGATCGTGATCACGTGGCCTCGCGCGGCTGGAGAACGGTCGCGGAGCACTTCCGCCGACGATGCGCGCCCGCGAACCGTCGTCTTCAGATTGGCATGGATTTTTTTTCTCTCTCCGAGAACCGAATTTTCAAAATTTTACAAACTTTCACATGCGTGTATACTTTTCTTTTATGCAAGATGCATTTTTGTCAAGAAACTACTACCGGGTGTAGCCAGCTTTTCAGCCACAAAACACAAATGTGAAAAAATTAATAAAACTGAGAACTTTAAATCTTAATAATTGACAAGAAATCTCGAATTAATGTTCTCGAAAATATTCGTCAATTTTCTTCTGCTAGTATTATAAAAAATACATATTTATGTGTTCTAGACACAAATGGAGTAATTTGCAAGCATTTGTTAATGTGCGTGACAATAGAAACGCACGGCCATTCGAAATTCAAATTTTAATGGACGAGTGTCAGAAAAAGATCTTTTTTATAGCTGAACTGTTATACATTTATTGCACTTAAAATGAAATATATAGGTTTGTTTGATATTTGGCTAGAACGAATAAAATTCTAGTTCTGTTGAGTGTAGCAATAAAACAAATCTTTTGAATATACGTGCATATATATATGCACACGTATGTATAATAATTTATATGTTTAAAAAATGGCAAGAAAAAATATTGTCGTGAAACGTGCAAATTTCGAATCTCGTGTGCATAAACGGAGCAAAAAGGAAAAAGTACTAAATTGGAAGAAAATATTCATACAAGAATCAAGTTACGTAACAAATTACATCGTAATGTTCTGTGCGAGCACGCTTTTATCTTGTACTTACGGAAGTGAGAAGATTAAAAGAATGTTCCTTGCGATTGCATCGTCGAACACGGACAGCTATGTTTATTCACTGTGCAATTGAAATGTGGAAGAGGCCAAGAGTAAAAAAAGGTTATACTTTGTACAAAAAATTTAGACGTTGTGTTCCCGAAGCAATATTCATATAACACATGTGATTGTCGTTGAAGGGAAAGTGGACAATTAGCGTTGGCATGGAGATTTTCTATTAAATATTTCTTCTGTTTTATCCTTAATCGCTAGATTATCGATGATGACAGAGAATATTGTCATCAGAATTCTTTTATTACATTTTTTAATCTTAATTTGTAACAATCACATTTTTTTCGTAGTGTCTATTAATCATTTTATTAAAAATTATAAACCACCAGTTAGGATTTGAGTAACTTGAAAATTCTGCATTATCATGCAAAGTGAAATTAAATAAACGTATAGTTAATGTAATTGTAATGAAAGACTGCATCGCATTTGTAAGAATGAGAAAATATAACTTCAGACACGGCTTAGTTTTCAACCTTTAAACAATGCTATATTATTTATCGATACATAGAATTTATCGCTGGTACCATTTGCTAACAGTGCTACATTTATTTCGCCTTTGCTTTCAAAAATGGTCTGTGCGCGTATTCTCTCTCTTTCTCTCTCTCTTTCTCTCTCTCTCTCTCTCTTTCTCTCTCTCTCTTTCTCTCCCATTTCCTCTCTCACACCTGTAAGTTATTATACAAGAATTACATGAATTTCTTTTGCTGTTTGTTTGGATCTCTTTGTATACGCATATTATTTTGTTATAATATCGATTAAATTACAATTAAAGTGATAGATATACTCATAAAATAATTATGTAGACACCTTATTATTATTGCACATCCATATACAATATGTGTATATATATATTTTTTTTTTATATGTAGAGATTAGAGGACTCTTCTCTATTTGTTCGTTATAGGGAATTATTGTTACACATATTATACACATTATTCCGGGTGCCATTTTTTCCTCTTTTTTTTTAAAGGTCTCGAACGATGAGAGAAACAGATCAAGAAACCGGAACGCGAAATCTTCCGGTCCGCACTCTCTACGTTATACAATCCACATATATGTCATTAATCTGCGTTAATTTACCGTCTTATTTAACGCTGCATGTGTGTACACGTACAATAATTACATATACTATACCGGCACTACTATAAATATCATATACAGCCGCCTTACGAAACTAATTAGCTTCTTTTCTTGAGCGTCAAAATTATATTTGCGGCAACGCACGAACGTCACTCAACTACAAGATTTATATAATATCATAATATGACGCATATCTTTTCATTTGATACCAAGGTATTTCAAAGGTTTAGTCAAAGTTTTCTTTCGACGCGTATTTTCTTGCATTCTTCTAAACATTTTTATGCTCAAATCTAATGTTAATCGATAATTACATAGTCAACTCGAGTCCAGATTCTCCAGAGGGAAAGTGTGGCCGTTTCATTTATTTTTATTTTTCCGCAGATCTTTCTTAATAGAAAGTCACATCTGTTTAATTGTCTCCTCTCTCCTCGCTCCAGCAATTTAAAGATTTCTATTCTAGTTTATAATCGTCTAAGTTACAATTTTATTTAAGGTATTCCTATTGTTATCTTATTAGGATATTGCATCTTTTTTTATTAAATCAAAAATGCACGTATGAAAAAACTATATTTTTGTGATGATATTTTTCTCTCATTGCGTTGTGGCTCTAGAAAGACTTCCGAGTTATAGGCTGCAGGTGCAGTCTGCAAACAATGGGTCAATTCTAACAAGTAGAATTATAAGGTTCGTAACTTGTTCTCGTAAAACTTCTAAACGTAGAACATATATGACTGGTATTGTAATTCTATATGCGCATGTATTGTACGATTCATAAACATTTACTTGTATTATAAATCATACGGCTAGCAAAAAAATATTGCATAAAGTTATAAGCATTTGTAAATTCTTAGAGTTGCTTACGGGAACATATTACGCGCTTTATGATTTTGTTTAGAATTAACACGTTACATTTTCAACAATATATATATACGCGAATTGTATTATTGTATCATGTGAATATTACTTTTAAAAAATACCCTAAGAATTAGACAATCGTTTGCAAAACAAATATTATACATTATTATACGAAGATTTTTACATTTGTAGTAATTAACAGTAGTATTTGTAAGAAATTACAGTATTTTGAATATTTTTTAGATTGTAACTTCCAATCGCATTGCTTTATAATTTTGCGTGATATATATACAGAGTGTCCCATTTTAAATGATGACCTCAAATTCAACGCAAAAGAGATGTAAATCCGATCAGACAACCTCCGCATGATACATTTTGGATAATGCTAATGTTGGCGGTACTGTACCTTCGAAGCCTTGTAATTCGAAAAGTACTTAATGAAAAATAATTTCATTATATAGTGTTTTGGAAAGTCAAGCTATAAGAATATGCAATGAAATATAAGGAATTTTATTTAAGAAATTGAAGATGACCTTGAAACAACTTTCCAAGGTCAAACCAATAGCACCATCTTATGTCCCCCTCTAAATCATATAACTTTTGTCTGAAACATTTTTCTCTAAAATGTACTGTTCAAGGAATATTTTAATGCGTCAATTAAAATGATACATCCTGTATACATTTTTCCGTTCTATATAAAAGCAGAAAAGTTGAAAACTTTTAACACAAGCTCCGGAAAGCTCTATATTCTTAAATTAAATCGGAGAAATATTGATTTATACTTTCATGTTGTAAGTATACAACCTGTATACAATTTATATACAGGATGAGGCATTTAAAACAAGTCATCTGAATAATTCGCGCGTTTTTAACAATAGAAGGAAAAGTGTCAAACAAAAGTTGCTTGGTTTCGAGAAGCACATAATGTGATGTTAATAATTGTTTTATAGATGGAGGCGTCAAGGATAGGCAAAGGTCAAATTTGTTTTTTAAATAGAATGATAAGTTTTTTTTATTTACATTCTGAAAAGCATTTTAAAACAAATACAGTGACCTATAATTAAAGGTCATTCAAGGTTACGCAAATACAATAATGGAAAATAATTAAATAGAAAATAAATTGTTTCAAGGCATTCTTCGAATAATTTCGTATCTTCTCTGCTTGTAGGTATACCGCTAATCGTTCAAGCGTATCACGGTATGTAAATAAACATTGAAGTGTGTCTTGCGAAATATATAGATCACCATACATGAAAAACGTATCGACTTTTTTCGCTTCCGTATAACGCATTTCGCAAAACACGCACTTTGATCAATAGATAAATTCAAACTGATCAATAAATATGGATAATGCTATGTGCGAATCAACGTTTATTTACATACCGTGATACCTACAAGCAGAACATACGAAATTATCCGAAGAGTGCCTTGAAACAATTTATTTCCTATTCAATTATTTTCCATTATTGAATTTGCGTAACCTTGAATGACCTTCAATTATAAATCACTGTATTCGTTTTAAAATGCTCTATCAGAATGTAAATTAAAAAACGTATCATACTATTTAAAAAAACAGATTTGACCTTTGCCTATCCTTTACGCCTCCATCTACAAAACAATTACTGACATTGCATTATATGCCCCTCGAAACTAACCAACTTTTGTTTGATACTTTTCCTTCTATTGTTAAAAACAAGCGAGTCATTTAGGTGATCTTTTTTAAATG